GGGGGGGGGGGGGAGCAAGCAAGCACGAAACAGTCCTCTGTCAAGCAAGCAAGCAAGAGGAGCCCGTTCACACTTACTGCAGCGTCAGCCTGGTCTTCTGCAGCGTGACCGACTCGTACACGTGCTTGAAGAACACGCGCGAGGAGATGCGCGCCCGGATGTCCCTGGGAAACCTCAGGAACGTCCTGGACCTGAAGCACGCCGCCGCCGCCTTCTTGGAGACCAGGCCCCGGAGCCTCACGAAATCCATGTAGTCGGCGCTCCCGCCCTGGGCGTCGACGGCCGCGTGGGGATCACCACCAGGCGGCGGCGGAGACGAAGTTGTGTCGGCGGTAAGGCCGCCTTGCAAGGCATCATCGCTGCCGCTTACTCCCGCCGTTTCATTCCCCCCCGCCGACAACGCCTCCGCCTCCGCCGCCGCCGCTGCTTGATGTTCATCTGATCCACCGCCTTCAACCCCTGTCTCCAGCGCTGATGCCTTGGCCTCGTTGCTGCCGTTGTCCCCATCAGCGACCACTGCCGGCGGCGGGGGAGGCGGCGGTGGCGGCGGCGCGGGCGCCACGCAGGTCGCAAGGGCTCGTTCCACATCCGAGAGGTCCTGTGTGTGGCGTATGTAGTACGTGTGTGCGTCCGCATAATTACATGGTCGCATGCGGCCGAGAGAGCGGTGTGGAAGGGGTTTCCACACAGACGATGGCGGATGGATTATTTCTTCGCCGTTGGGGTCAGTACTGCACCGACAAGAAGAACCGAAGAAGTATGCAACCGCCGCGTCGAGACACCGCGCCCACAGGTTAACAACGCTGCTAAACACGTGCTGGCTTTGAAAATTAAGGGGGCGCGGCAGAAATCACGCCGGCTGCGTGCGGGTCGGGGGAGGGGGGGATGCGTGACATCCCCGACATCCCCGACACTCCCCTCCCCGACTTCTAGTAAGCTCTAGACCAACGTCCGGGTCCACCGAAAAAAGAAAAGGCCATCAAGTCAACACCAATTTGTGAGACACAGGAAATGCTTACGATCCAATTCGGGGCGTGTATCCCCCCGCTCTGCACTACGTCCACAACATAGCGAGGTTTACGGGCAAAAATACGGCAAGCATATGTACGCGCCTCCCTTGACTAAGCAAAAATGCTCAAGTTCTACCCCCACCCCCTCCCTCCCCCTCAAACGTCGATTTCCCGCCGCCGTCCGCCTCACCTCAAAACCCATCAGGTATTCCTCCCGCCGCTGCAAGAAACGGCTCCGAGCCTTCGCCCTCAGCTTCGATCGCGCCGCCGCAACGCGGCTCGCTTCCAACTGCTGCTAAGACAAGGGCACAGGCATCGTCGCAAGAAGTGAAGCATGCGCAGAGGACATCGTTGTTTAAACAGATGAAAGAGAGATATGACTCTTGGGCAAAATTCTTGGGCAAGTTGGCGGGCGGCAGCGGCGGCGGCGGAGGGTGTGCGATTATCATGACAAGCCAGCCAAAACGCCGAGCACCGCGCCGCGCACATACTTCAGCTTGACGACACCGACATTTTCGCCTTAGCCCCCTTGGTATCCCCCTTCCCCCCCCCACCCCCCGCTTCGTTGTTAACCCCCACCCCTCTGGAAGTGAAAGCACCAGAAAATAAATTAAGTCATACGCAGCTGTCATCCGTACGCAAGGAAGTAAGCACAAGATGCCGAACACCCGTAGCAGGATGCAGCGCACCCTTCAAGCGGCTCGCCGAACATCTCACGGCGCTTCGCGCTTGGTGATGTGAGAGGCTGGTCCGGTGAGAACCCGGCGTGCTCCGTCCCGGCTTTNCGCCCCCCCCCCCCACCCCTCCGTGAGCAAAAAACTAGCCGAACATACGCATGTTGAATGTACTCTTCTTTGTGGTTCCCATGTTTCAGGAGCGGGAGGGGGCAGAAAACATGCATGTGATGCTGCGAACCCCCCTCTCGACTCCCACGGACCGGCCGTACCTCATTGTGTTTTCGTATGTTGACCTTTGTTCACTCTCTCCCGTCTACATGTATGTTTGCTCCATTCAACATTCGACATTCAACATCGGGACAGCTTTGTCAGTTCCTTGTTTCAGGAGGGGGAAGGGACTGGAAGAAGGAACTGACGAGGTCAAGAACGTTTCGAAAAACTAGCTTCACGTACGGATGTGGAATGTTGAACGTTTAATGAAATGAACGCACATGTAGAAGGGAGACAGTAAACAATGGCCAACACACAAAAAAACGATGCCGTACGTGTCCCGGGGGCGGAGAGGGGAGTTCCACAGCATCACAGAAGCTGTCGGCAGCAAAGCTACCGTAGAAGTAGGGCGTTGGTTGAGAGGGCGCCACTGTGTAATACAGAAAGACATAGAAGAACGATTGCGGCGTTTACAGGGGAGTATGTGATTGGCCAACAGGGCGTGTCGGTAAACGTGCAGCGGAAAGGAAAAATTCGGAGTGACTTACTTCAACGTGACCAATGGGTGTCTCGCTGAGGTCAGTCCTGAATAAACGAAAGATCTGGATGTGTGGTGTGATATCCTACGGTCTCCCATCTCTGAGGTTAGGAAGCTACAAACCGACAGGAGGGCTCTCTAGCGAACAAAAAACGCCTGCGATTGATCTGTGTGGATTGTCACCCAACGGTCTCACATCTCTCAGGGTTCATAAACTAAAAAGAAGGCGCCCCAGAAAACAAACAAAACCTCCCCGCGATTGACGCGGGTCTCCACAAGAAGCCGGTCAACCCACACGCCAACTTCAAGGTGGTTGGTACTGTTGTACCCAAACGTTATGGGCCCGGCGGTGCTCGCTCGTATTTCTTCCCTCCCTTACCGTCTGCGTGGTGTCGGCATTGCTGCCGCTACCGTCGGCCGGGGCAGGAGGAGGAGGAGCGGCACCGGTAGCGGCGGACGCCGGGGGGGGCAAAAAGAATCGAGGAAGCTCTCTTCTTCTTCCGTTTTTTTCGCCGCCGCCGCTCCCGGTCTCCTCCTCCCTCCTTCTTCTCCGCTCCGCGAAGATAGATCCCACGTACGTTGCCGTCAACCGACCTAGACAGAGCAGAGAGAGAGAGAGAGAGAGAGAGAGAGAGAGAACAGGCCAACAAATCGATCGACTGAGTAATGGGTTGGGGGCTGTAGTAACGTTTGGGCGTGTGTTGCAGCAGTACCGGCCCCGCCCGTAAGTCAAGGAAAGTTTCTTACTTGGCCGCCGCCGTCGAAGCATAAGACTTCCATACAGCAGTATAGGAGTTAGTATAGGATATGGCCACCGCTGCTGTGCTACATGGCTGTGTTTCCTTTACCCCGATTTCTTCAGTAGTCTACGCAGGTTTTTCAAGTAAGCAAACATATGGGAAAAAGTATAATGAATCGGCTTCAAAGTTGGGCTATGGCAGGGTCTGCTTACCCCCTGCCTCGTCTTTTTTCATAATAAACGCACTTTTGCGTAGGCTGTCCGTTTTTTTCCTGTTCGGGAATGCTTGAGCCTGTTTTCGTTACAAAATTTGTCGTGCCACGACGCATGCGCATCCACGAAACAAAGCACAGCAGTAAGGGGCCCGTTTTCGCGACCCGTAGTGTCACGACGAAATGTGGCCGTTTCTGTATTCACGGGAGGTCGCTAAACCGAACTAGTATACCAATTACATATATAGCAGTTATAATACGGGGGTGCGTCGGTGTGACGTGGTTTTGTGGTCGCTAAACAGGGCATGTCGCTAAACAGGGGGTCGCTAATCCGGGCCCCCTACCGCACTGCTGTACCACAGCCGTATGATAGGTCACACATTATACCGCCCCCTCCGGTGTTTACCATCGGGGTTGGGTTTTCGTCGCTTGGCAACGACGTTGTAAAACAAGCCAATTCACTTCGTGAACTCGGCAACCAGGTTACCGTTCTTTTTTTTTACTTCCGTTTTTTTTTTTTGGCGGTAACCATAATGGCGGTCGAGTAGATCATGTTGTGCGGGGTGGAGAACCCTCACTCCGCGCAAGGGGGATGATCGCACCACGTTGTGTTAAAATGGTCAAGCACCCTCGAGGCAGTTACACAGTGCTT